AGCTTCTATTATAATATTTTTGACACCTTTTTGAATTTTTATAGATGGGACTCAATATCAAATACTAATGATATGTCCGATGAAGATTTGAACGAACAGATCAGGGGAACAGCCGTTTATCATACATTGGGTATTGTCAGTCAAACTGCTGGTATGTTTAATCATTGCCATTTTAATAATTCATACACATTAAGCGTTTACTTATGTTTAATTGTTTAAAATCAATCTATTGTTATTTAATATTAGACATCCCATTAATTCAATGGTTTTGTCCACCTGCCGAAGCATTTTTTGCGAGCACTGAAGAGCAACTTCGTAGACGGTTTCCTGACTTTAATGAAGAAGAATTGGCAGGGTTGATTGAGGACTATAAAAGGGAAAATACAGCATTAGAGAGGGTTATTAAAGATTTTAATTTGGTGATGCATGTAGAACATGCATTAAGGTTATTAGATTTGAAATCTGCATTAGATGTCCAATATGATTAGTAGTGTTCCCATCCACAAACTGTTTACCCATTTATCTATTGAATATTATATCTGATAGATAATTAGTTAAAATAGATTAATAACCGAAGTATTTGTTAAATTCCTCGGATTATGTATGTATTGTTAATATAAGGATGAAGAGGCAACCATTTTTTAATCAAATGTTGATAATGTTAAACGTGTGAAATATTACCGTTATCATATAATACATAATAACGGTTACCATTATATAGTGTCCAAAAATAATCCAGTCATTGCAAATTAAGTACGTGGCAAATCTTAAAATTATGCTATGCAATCCCGGAATTAAGGTTAATTACATAAATTACAATCAATCGTGTATTGGCACATAATTATACTAACATTACGAAAGTCTGACCGGTATTAGTTGCTACATTCGGTGCTATAATTTATAGTTTGCCTACATTATTTACACAACCAAAATGAAATGTTTGACAATTTACCATTACATATAATTTTACAACCTCTGCCTGGCGTTGGAGTATAATTTAGGCCGCTAGCAATAAGGCAAGGCATGGCTCATCATTCTGTGTAGCATCATTTTGTGCAACATAAATGATGCCCGCTGACCAATAGAATATCTTTACACATGTGGGCTGTTCTTAGAAAAGTGACCAAATTGAAAATTGTTCAAAAAAATTTTTTATAAAATTAGCCTAGAAACATTTTTTACTTAAGAAACAAAATTCTGTTATATTAATAAAATTTTGCAATATAACTCTTTAAAGGTTGTATTTTAATATAGAATTTATAATATAAAAATCAAATTTCTCGCAAGCTTTTTCTTGTCAATTTGGTCCCTTTTTTCAGAACATAGCCTGTGATTGGCCAAATTACTTGAGTTTTGTAAAGAGATCTGTTAATGTCACCCCTCACCTTTGCTAATGCCACTCCCTATATAACTCTAATCGGTCCTTAACCTTCCGGAACTCTATGAGCAATGCTTACCCTAACTGCTAACTAATCAATCACACGAATTTGCACTGTTTCTAAGTACTGTCTGTAGAATTTTCAGTTTGAAAACCTATTTTAATACAAAATTTTATAATTTTTTGGAATATATTTTTTTTTGGCTTTTTTTTAGAGTTAGGGATCAGTTTTAGAGATAAAATTATTAATAAAAAAGTATACCGTAAATCCGCGAAAATAACGATCATGGGCGTTATTTCAAAAATCGTATCCTCTAAAAATAGTATACCTCGTTTCAAAAAAACGCCCATGCGCGTCCCGAAATAACGCGCATCTTATATACGTAGCACATAAGTAGGGATGTTGGGCAGTCTGGTCTAAACCGTTAGACCATAGTTGGTCTTAAAACCAGTATGAAACTGAAAAAAATCACTTCTCAGTCTTAAGACCGGACCAGTCTGAACTAGTCTAAACATGTTTAAATTACTTAAATCTTTAAATATAAATCAATAAAGACTAGATCAAAAAGAGACTGGGCTGTTAAAATCCCTACACATAAGCAAATGTATGACACGGCCCAGGAAATTAGCCTTATTTCGAAATAACGCACATGGGCGTACCGAAATAACTCAGATGTGCGTTATATTTCGCGGATTTACG